GAGACCATATAAAGTATATATATAAATGATCACCGTGACGAGCTGAGTTGATTTAGCCATGTCCGTTTGTCTGTCCGTCCATCTGTCCGTCTGTATATACGCGAACTAGTCCCTCAGTTTTTGAGATATCGATCTGAAATTTTGCACCTGTCCTTTTCTAACAAAGAAGCTGCTCATTTGTTGGAACGGCCGATATCGGACCACTATAGCATACAACTGCCAGACAAACTGAACAATCGGAATCAAGTGTTTGTATGGAAAACTCTTTCATTTGACGAGCTATCTTCACGAAATTTGGCATGTATTATTATTTAAGGCATTAATCTAATTTTCGAAGAAATTTTATAGATCGGACGACTATAGCATATAGCTGCCATATTAACTGATCGATCAGTAAAGTGCTTGCATGAAAATTTTTTTTATTTAACGAGGTATCTTCACGAAATTAGGCTTGAGTTATTGCTTAAGGCAACAAATTATTCTCCACAGAGATTGGTCAGATCAGATCACTATATCATATAGCTGCCATACAAATTGAACGTTCGGAATCAAGCTCTTGTAAGGGGCCTTTGTATTTGTGAAGGGTATTATAGCTTCGGCGCAACCGAAGTTAACGTTTTTTCTTGTTTATTTTTATTTGAATATTTTAGTTAACTCTTACACTAATTTATGCAGTTATGAGATGACCGTGTTGCTAAAATTCCCTTAAATATTTTTTAAATTAATTTTCGTTACCTGGAAATGAGAGGAAAAAATTTTATTGTTGAACCATGTGTAGGGCCTTGAGGGTGTGTTCTAACCTAAAAATTTAAATAAATCGATTTTTATCCACTTTTCGATAGTTATCGTGCTACTAAGATTTTTCAAATTTGACATTATTTACAAAGTGATAGTCGTTTTAATACCGTGGCAACTACAATAGATTGGAACTAATTTATTCGACGAGGTCGTCGGAATAGCTTAAGCTTTAATCAGGCGATTAACTTACAATTTGGAATATATCCATTTACTCTATGAACCAATCGTGATGACGTAATCGTCCTTTTTTATCCTCAAGTTTAAGTACGCCTAAAATTATGAAAATTAATTTTTTAAGGAATGTTAGTTGTGAAATAGAATAGTGACTATAATTCGGTCACAAAATTATAATAATATATTTAAATACCCCGACAAATTTTACCCTCATATGAATTATCGGTTCTACATCGACAATTCTTGGTGACCGTTGACTGAGTAGTCTCTTTTGAGCAATAATATTTTCCTCTTACTTATACTCGTAGATATAACGCTTCTAGAATTCAGCGAACCACTGCTTTACTTTTAGATGATTCCAAATTTCCAACTACTTTTAACCTTACCCTCTTACGACACATTTTCGCACTGGAACATAGGGCTGTCAAAATAATAGTGCAAACCATATTTGGTCGATATCGGTCGAGTATGTCCAGTATATGGGTTTTCACCTAAATGTTGCCGGTGCCATGCCTATCATTTTATTTTGATCCCAGCTCCTATTAAGGCCTGTCGTACAATCTTTTGAGTAAAATTTAATGTCTTTATCGTATGTATTTATTGTACTTTTCAACAGAACCGTTATATGGGAAGTAGGAGGGGTTATTATCCAATTTCATAAATTTTTACCGTGTCGGTAGGGGTGCTCAAGGAATTTGTACTGAAAAAATCGGGTTATTGGGGTGAATGGGATGTGAAAAAAGTGCTAGCATGAAATTTTAAATCTTTTTATTAGCTACAATTTTCTCGTTTCACTTTTTTAATACGCTTTTTATAAGCTTGGGTTGTATGTATGTAATGGAATCTTAGAGCTCAATTTCCATCGGTTTCCAGAAGTCTGATCAACTTGAAACTTTGCAGACGTGTCAAGGACCGATGCAATAATTTGATAACAGTTTCCCATTACTTTAAAGGTGGGCGTAACCCCGCCCCTAAATGGTTTAATGTATATATCTTCCAAACCGCTAAAGCTAGTTCAACCAAATTTGCTGAGACAAAGTCCTTTTAGCCCTTTTTCATACGCTGTGAAAATGGGCAAAATCAGATAATAACTACGCCATCCATATTTCAGTTATGTTAAAATATACTAAAAGTGCGATAACTGACTAAATAAATGGGCCATAAGCATTAATTTTCACAAACAAGATGGTAGGGAAAAGCTTTATAGGAAAAGGTTTAAAAATTCCTTTAAAGCAAGTTTTTTTAGTTTTTTAAACTATAATTTATGCCATAAGACTTGTGATTTTTCCGGAAATCGAAATAAACAGTTTTTCCCTAATCACTTTTCGACCTCAGACCGCCTGTAAATAACTTTCCTTTTTATTATATTTTCTACCTTTTGCAATGGGTTTCATCGTACTATTATTTTTAACTTGTCTGTGCTTTTGACAGAAAGATATATTGGTTAGTGACGCCGTAAACAAAAGACCTTCACTCTTGTTAACATCAGTTTTAAAGTTGATAATACGCTTTGTTGAGTACGCTATTATTCTTGGACACATTTTTCAGATAGGAATTAAATATACTTCATTAGCCGTTGACCTTTCTAAAGTGAACTGAAAGCCATATAATTATAATTATAGGAATCTATCATCTCGGGTAGTATATTTTTGCAAGTAGGCTTGTGATGCACAGACAAGGAAGCATAAGCACTTCAATGAAAAGAGCATTAGTAACTTTCTGCGATTCCACAATTTTATTATTACAAAAATTAGAAAATTGTAATATAATATATGTGAAAGTAACAACTACGTTATCCAGTGGTATTTAATACAAGGGGATATGTTGATATCTCATTGCAAACTAACAATCATACTTGGATTTTTCTATGAGATACATGTTCGCTGTGTGTTTTATGCACCACTTCCAAATTTCGAGAAGTCCCAGCTGTTAAAACTAAATTAAAACGTAATCAATATGTTCAACGTAATTACTTCCGTAACTGCTTAGTACAAAGCATCCACCTCAGAACTCTGCGAAGTTATGAATGGGCGAACAAACCAAAACTGATGAGTGAAGCATAGTAAGTTGCAACGACTGTCCAACACAACCTTAAGCAACATGTGGAACCTGAGAGTTCTTTGTATTTCAGTGTCGGTGACTCTCCATTTATATTCACCACAGGCCTCTAGAATGTCTACAATACTACTGCAATCACCACCAACAGGGATAGGATGTTGCTCACCAGCAGAATTGGTGAATTTATAATAAATATTTTAGAATGTTGCTTAAAGTAGCATGTTTTGCAACATTTTGGTTGTTTCCAAGTAACAACAAGAAAAAACGTGGTGCAACCGAAGCTATAATACCTTTCACAGATACAAATGTTGCTTACGAGAACTTGATCCCGATTTAATTTCGTAAAGATATCTCGTCAAATAAAAAAAGTTTTCCGATCTATACGAGCTCTTCGGAGATTGCATTAATGTCTTAAATAATAATCCATGCAAAATTTCGTTAAAATACCTCGTCAAAAGAAAGAGTTGTTCATACAAGCGTTTGATTCCGATCGTTCAGTTTGTATGGCAGCTGTATGGTATAGTATTTTGATCTTATAAATTTCTTCGGAGATTACATTCTTGCCTTAGACAATATCCATACCTAATTTTTTGAAGATATTACGTCAAATAAAAAAGTTTTCCACACCAGCACTTGTTTCCGACAAATGAGCAGCTTCTTAGTGATCAAAGGACTGGTGGAAAATTTCAGATCGATATCTCTAAAGCTCAGGGACTAGTTCTCATATATACAGATAAACGGATGGAGGGACTTGGCTAAATCGACTCAGCTCATCATGCTGATAATTTATATATACATTATATTATGTATATATTGTATAGGGTCGAGTAGAGGTTGCAACAGAGATGCTTGACAACGTAGGTTCATCAGACGTATCATTAGTGTTGACGAGTCGTGGGTTTATGACTACGACGTCAAAACCTTCCAACAATCTAGCGAATGGCACCCTAAACTGAGCCTTCAACGAAACAACCAAATTTCTCTGTTTGGGTTGTTTACAGTAACATAAAATATTCATCTCGGCCAAAAAATGGATTAACTCAGAAACAGTGCATCGACGAACCGAATTCAATTTTGCGATGAAGCTCCATGAAAGACCAGTGTTTATCGATGGTATAGTGAATTCAATCGAGGTCTTAGATCACTCCAATATGAATTTCGTGAAGGTCGTCCAAAATCAAAATCTATCGTGAGATAGAGACAACTATAGGCATTAGTGGGACTAGCCTACATTCAATATTGCATGAACATTTGACTATAAACAAATTTGTTCACGTAAAATCGCACACAATGTGTCAACCGCTTAAAAAAATGCTCGTGTCGATTGGTCAAGAGAAATGTTAAAAAATACGATATTGGTGCTTCGAAACACGTCTATGAAATTGTAACAGGTGATGAATTATGGATTTACGCGTATTAGCCCGAAGGTAAACCGCTGTCGACTGTGTGGGTATTTCAAGATGAGCTGAATCCAACAAAAGTTGTTCGCGCATGAAGCACTTCCAACCAAATGGTTGCCTCTTTTTTTTTGAACTTTCACACATCGACTGAAACAACTGCATTTTCGAGCACTCAAAACATCGATTTGATGAGTTATCGACCATATAGTTCTGCCTTGGCACCGAATGAATTCTTTATAAACGTAACAAACTAAGAGTTCAACGTTTTTCGACACCTGAAGAGGCAGTTGATGAGTTCAGAACGCTTGTTTTGGAGACACCTCAATCATAGTGTGAAAAGTGCTTCTGCAATTGGTTCAAACGTATGCAAAAGTGTATAGATCTTAATGTAAAATATTTCTAAAAGCAATAAAGCGATTTTTGATTAACATTTATTGTTATTCTCTAATCACGAAATATAGTTAAAAGACAACCCTCGTATTGGCTCAAAAGGAGCCCATTTTGAAGGCGATTATAAAGATTTGTATTAAAAATCGTGAAAATGTGGTATATTTTTTTGTCAGTCCAGGTCACACATTTTGGTTATGGTATTGTTAACTTCTTTGAATGTGAGTTACATTTTTTATTATTTTCTTAACGTTTTTCTACTTTACTAAAATCAGCCGTATCCTTCTTCTTAGCGTTTAGGGCTGTAACTACTTAAGCGATCATTGATTGCCAGTTATTTCTTCACTTCTTAATATGGCATCAATTTGAAAATTCAAATAAAAACTAAATCACTTTCATTTGGTCCTCTCTGTCTTTTTTGTTATCAGCTGGTCCAACATTGAAGAGTTTCATAGTTCAGCAGCCATTCAAACCACATGATCTTAAAGTGGGGTATGTGGATGCCGTTATAAATGTCGTCCAATCATAAAAATTGTAGCAAAACCTCCTAAAGAAACTATAATTACTCCGAACTGCAATATTTTTATAACAGCGCTACCCATTATATGCTTTCTGAACATAAAAGTGACCACAACTTATGTTAATATGAATAATTATTTGGTGGAAACATTTTAGAAGACGTAATGAAGACTGCGACCTCTTGCTAGAACGGTACAGAGGTATGAAATTCTTTATAAGTTTTCGAGAAAATGCAGTAAATATAGATTTGGCTGTAATTCGCTCCTTTAGATTCGACGCTTTAACCATTTCCGTCCACTGAAATAGTTCAACGTACTATTTACTGCGTCGCCGAATTAAATGCCGGCTGTGAAAAGGAAGAAAAAAGATTAGAAAAAATTGCCATTTAAAATATTCAACACGTGCGAATAACAGTGTGTTTTGCACTTTGAACCAAACTTGCAACCATGAACACTTCTGCTGATACCTAAGCATTTGAGCGCGTGCCTTTAAGCCTATTTTTATGCTGATTGTCGTCACATCAATGGCCAATATTTTTTATAAATATATATATGAAAGTATGCAAGTGGCACAGGGCAGATGCGATTTTATGTTAATCGTAACCGAACACGCACTCATAGCGCAAAGCGGACGGACAGATATGCAGACGAACCGCGTGCCGGTTTGCGCGTAAATGTCGACGCACTTCGTCATTTCAACGCCTCCTTTATGGGGCTCTGAAGAAGGGCCACACGCAAGCACAACAGATATGGGTAACTAAAGTTTCGGTTGCGCCGTCAAGCCAAGTGATCATCAACGGTCAACAAGCTAACCAACCGCGTTTATCAGCCGCTTGCCGCAGAATACTTGTAGCTATATTTTGTTGTTGTTATATTTTATTACTTTCTTTTTTATCTTTTTCTATGCATTCATTACTTACAGACAAACACTTGCGCGTTCGCGCTTAACAACAATCAATGCCCCGGGGACATTTAAAGTTTAAAAATGAAAATCACCAAAACGACGCGCTTGACTTGGCGTCTGTGGCGAGCGCGATGACTGGTGACCGGTCTCAGTGGAGGCAAAATAAAGCTAAAAACAACACAGTAACAACAAGGCGTCATCGCACCACAGGAGTGAAAATAATCAATTCAATTAAATCGCGCTACTAAAAGGCGACGCGTCAGCTGCGCGGCCGCCGCCGCCACCATGACCGCGACCGTTGCGGTAGTCAAAGCTGAGGAAACGCATAAAATATGCGATATTACATGCGACATACCGCAGCAAAACAACCATGAGTAGTTACAACAACAGCAGCAGCAACAATAACAATAAAAACAAAAATGTTGACTCTGTGTCGCTATGTAGGAGGTACAATCGGCCGCAGAGATTATGACCAAATGACAGTGAATGGCGGGCGATAGCAACTGCGATTGCGATTGCGAAGGTGATGGCGATGGCGATGACGATGGCATAGCCGTTGACGGCGCGGTTGCGGGTACATATGCGAACGCGTACGCCAATGCGAAAGTGAATGTGAACGCGGATGATGAGGTTGGTGCTGGCGATGGCGATGACGATGCTGATAGTGGCGGCAGAAAAGCCAATGGCGCGTTGTTTTGCTGTTATTGCTGCCGTTATGCCGCCTTTACGGGAATGGTCTTGGCGCTGTTACCAGCCAGCGAGTGACGTAGAGCTATGGCGTTGCGGTAATATGGCAGCTGATAGTGTTGCATATGATAACTGCCGCCGCATCGCAGGACTGTTGCTAGGTTGCCATTGAGTGGGACGTTTGCGCCTTTTACCACCTCAAATAATGAGTGCAGCGCGTGCGTGTGGTAGCCTTGGCGTGGCGGCAGTTGATTATGGCAGCCGTGGCAGGCTGGCAAAGTCACCAAAAGCTCATGAAATATTCATTAAAAATTTATAGCGTGGCGTTTGGCGCATAAACGTTCAGATTCTTTTTCCTCTTTTTTTTTGTTTTTGCAATTTTTTTGCAAATAAAATTGGAGTTCAGGCGCAACCGGAAAATATTAAAACCCCTTAAAATGTACCAAATTGTAATAATAAAACAAAGTGTTTGGTGTTTAAGAAAAAGCCATAAATGTTTGCTATCATGTCACGCCGTTGTTGCTCATTTCGGTTGTTGTTGTTATTCGTCGTATTAAAAGGCAATTTGTTTCATCCAGAAGGTGCAGTCACTGAGTGCCCCTCTGTGGTGGCATTGTGGAAGGTTAAGTTTTATCAAGTCTTTAAAGTATTTAGTTATTTAACTTATCTCACAGTATATTTTCAGTGCGATTTTGTGGTCAGTTTTATGGTTCATTAGTCGTCGTAATTTTTTCTAAATACCTATGGTTGCCACTCTTCACCGTCAATATTAAATTAAATGGCAAACACCCCGCAGAAACATATTCAAGAATTAAACAGGGGCAGATATTTTGCTTAATACCAATTTGTAAATTATTTAAAGTTAATATTCTTTCCATCAGTTTAACTCAGTTCAGTAAAGCTTGATCGTTTGTTCATCCGATTCTTTTCGTTTTTTTTTGTGCCGAAGTGCCGAGTTAAGTTTTTTGTGATTTATTTATAAAGACATTTTTATGGCGCTTGATCCCGTAGCTGATCTCCAGGACGGCCCTAGATAAAAAGTTTCTGGCGGTGAGGAAGATTTTTTTGCTTGAAATTTTATCAAATCCAAGACGATCGGTCCAGCCGTTTTGAAGAAATTTTGCTCACCGACTCTGAAAACAAAGTAAAACGCATTTAAAGTTTTGGGAGCCGATTACACTAAGTAAAAAAACTCATACAAATACGCTTATATAGCCGAAACTATTTGCCGAATCAACTTAAAATTTTTGGATAATATTCTCAAATATATGTACCATCGATTTATATGCAAAACAAAAATCAATTTGTTGAAATTCATAAGTGTTTAAAACTCTTTAAGTCAAGCTGACTTCTTTCTTTCAATAGATAATCTCACTTTAGTCCCCTGCTACCACTGCTAGTTACAATCCTTTCACTAATTAAAAACCGTATTACAAATTTAATAACTGAATACGACTTGTTTTTATTCCCTGTCCCTTTATTACATAGTTAAATCCGAATTTTTGCCATTCGAGCACTCCAACAGAACCTTGCCTACGGCCACACTTCACCCCCATGTATATAACATATGAGAGAGAGGGAGGGAGACATGTTGGGAGACTTATGTATGTTGATTTACATAAAAATTGTTGCTTTATTTGACAGTTCATACTTTATGGTAACACACAAGCGAAGAAAATATCTCTCTCTCATGTATTATATTTCGTGCGATTTTTAAGGCCTCATTCGAATGTGTGTATCTCTCTTAAATATGCTTTGAGACAAATTAAAGAAATTTGGAGGAATATCGGAATGTGTTAAAATCTTATGCTCTATATCACAAATATATTACACTATATTTATGGCATTTTGATCACACAAACTAGGTGAATATGCTTACTCATATCTGACTCGTATTCCAAGTACATTTCCTCAATTGATAATTATTAGTTTGTTTACAGTGGTCAAAAAATTTACGTGGCTTGCTTCAATTCCAATTTTATAGTGTCCCTACTAAGGGTCTATCTTTGTAACCTGTTATCCAGTATCCATCATGCACTCCAGAAGCAACTTCAAGGTATCTTCGATTCGCCATTTCTCTGACCGCTATATTTAGGCGCTGCTTTCTTGTCAAAAAAATTTTAATAGTCCATTAAAGTGGTATAACAGTATGCTACCGAGTTTTTTCTAAAGATTTTGGACCAAGTTTACCATTGTGAACGGCTAAGTGACAAATTATTGTTTAAAGTGTTAACATAGTGTTAAGTTAACATTTTTTAAACACATAAGGTTTTTTTTTACAGAATGTAATAACCTAAAAATTAAATTGAAATATATTGTATATTTTTACAGAAGCCGTAAGGCATATACGTTATTCGATACTGACAGTCTTTTTATGAAATACAATAGTATCATTTCCTATTCCCCTCCCATCTTCTTATCAGTTTCCATGTTACGCCTAGAGAACTCCTCCGAATATTATGTATGCTATTCCTGAGAGTAGTATTATTTTGAAGACTGCGATTTTCACTGTTTCATAGCGAACAGGGTGAAGTTTTATGTAGCGTTATTAAGTTAGACTGGCCTTTGAAATTGCTTATGGGAACACTGAAAAAAACACTTTTTTGAGTGGCGGTACACATTCATTGTATACTAATAAATAGGTATTAGTTGAAGATTATATTACACAAAGTAGATTTTTCATTATTATCGATAATACTTCCTCCTAATTATCCCCAATTAGAAATGCCACCCCAACGACCAATCAGGCATTCCCATTTTAATAAGCTTGTTCGCATTGCTGCACAACCATGTGTTCATAAACGTGAAATTGCAGCAAATCATCGACAATATTCCACTTTTGTTCAAGAATATCGCAATATATCAAACAATCAGCGGAGAAGCCCTCAATATGCTCCCGAATTTCATTGACTGCTTATGATGTGACTATAATGCGAGCTCATTGCAACACACACACGTACTCGGCAGTTGCAAGAAATGAAGCGAAAAAGAATAATGTGGAGATAACTGCGATTGGGTAGGTTCGACGGAGGCAAGCTTGCATTGATTACGAGATATCAACTTGAGACTGGCAGCGCGTCGGTTTTCATTTATGCTATTCCGTATGTCGCTATGTAAAATACAGACTTCGGTTTGCCTGTTGCTGCTCGACAAGATGTTTGTCAACTTGAAACTGTCTTTGCACTTCATTGCTTACGCATAAAACATCGACAAATTTGGTTAGACAGACAGAATTTCGCGAATTTGTAAATGTCATTGAGTTGTGTTGCCATTGTCTGGGTTGTATTAAAAGGACGCTCAGCGACTGAAGTAATTGACTGGGTTATTCAGCGGAAGTTGCAGTTGCTGTTCGTGCAACAAAGCGCTCGTTGAAAATGTTTCATATTCGGAGTGAAATTGTCGCATCTTAGACAGATTATGTGGATGAGTTATACATTTTCTTGAAGAATATGTTTATTATATCACAATCCATATAATTTGGAAGATCGCTCATATAATATGTTATGCGTTATCAAAATCCTAATACTTATAAGTATGGTTGTTCGGCTTCAAGTTCAACCTTAAAATTATTTAAGAATTCTTTGAACCTTCCGAGGAAAACGGCGGTAGTAGACTTAAATTTCTTTTTAGATCCTTTCGTAAAAAAGAAACTGGTTTATAGTTTAAACGGAAAACACACTTTTTTGTAAAATCTGATATTATTAGTCAAAAGTCCCATTGAGTGCGAAAAATCAATCTTATAACTACTATTACGGAACCCGCTTTACTTTCTGCTTAAAAAAAAAGCAGTCTCGGCGATTTTCTCTTTACTGCTCCCAAATATTCTTTCCAGTAAGCATTCTCTCGAAATTTCTTTTCTTCCTCTTAAAGTGGAGATTTACCGTAATTTCATATTTCAAACGTTGATTAAAGGAGAACTCTAAGTAGGTAGGTAAGGTGGCTGGCTGCCAACGCACCTAGGCCTTTTGGATGTCCATTGTGAAACCACCAGAACTAAAATCCTCTCACACTATCCTATCCTCTCTGAACCGACCTATTCCCTTGATGAAGTTCATCAAATCAAAAAGTTTTATATATGCGTCTTCCGAGACATCGCAAAGTAACCCTCTATAGACCAAGGCATTATTTCACTATCTTCGATGAAACCCTAAGAGACTTTAGTCACTTTTATACCCATATTTATTGTTGTCAGAACAAGAAAGCTTTCTTTGATCTCTCACTCGATTATCCAGTTTAGACCTCTCCGTATAGATACTTATCTCTGTATCTTCGTATCGTTTTTATATATACATATATATATTTTTTTTCTAAGTAATATTTGTATTAGCTAATTAGAATTCCTTCTTGTATTTGTATACTCTCATAAAATGCACCGCGACCCACTTGGCGCTGTATGATATTTTGGTGCCCGCATTTTTTTGATCACTTCTTTTCGCTCTAATTAGGCTTTTTTCTATTTTGTCGGCGTATTTCTTAACCTCATGTTAGCAACCTTAATTAACACAAATCCTTGTTTTACCAGCGAAATGTTTGGGGAATACATGCACTCTTAGCGCTGACATATTCATATGCACGCAGCTACATTACGGTTATACTAAGAAAGATACTTCAATTCGAAACAATATTTTTTTTTTGGAAAAATTTCCTTTATGGGTATCTATAATACCGTTTCTGGGTTTGAGATCGACGCATTCCGTTTTAAAATTATTATGTTTAATTTTATACCGATTAGGGAAGTAAAGTGAAGTTAAAAAATTTGCAATGAAGATTTCTTTAAAAATATTTATAAGTCAATAAATATATTTCTTCTTTTTCATCTCTTGCTTTTTTTCAGTACCTAATTTCAAGTCGTGCTCCAAATACTCACATCACTTATTAGGTGGTCAATTTGAGCCAAAAGGTTCTATATATATGTTTTTTTTTTTTTTAATTTTGAAGAAATTTTTAAGTAGAATAGGTTATCTCATATAGCCATCGAGGCCCGATACTTCTTGTCCTCTTTGGGGTACCGAACTACACGTAGTCTGCGAAAATTCAAAATTCGCGGTGCCTTTTGAACAAACCTCGCATTTGGCCAAAATCAACACATTAATGTTACCGCAGTTACATTTTCAAATAATTTTGCGTACATTTTGTGCAACCCTAAAGCAGATCCTGCATTCTAAGCTTTGTATCGGCATATACAAGAATTTATTTTTCATAAGACACTTGTTAAAAGAAAGAGCTACAAGATGTCGCGCTACGTTGCACTTCAATAACTGATATACACTTGGCATATAATATATTCTGTTGTTCAAAATCAAGGTAAGATGGGAAAGTAATGCAAAGAGTGCTAAAAGAAAGCAACAAAATTTTATGTTGCTATAGAAAATCTGTGTGGATGATGGGTAGCGGAGCAAACAGCACATATGTTAAAGTTTTATGTACTTACTCATCACACTTTTATTTACATGGAATCTCGCTTCCGAATTTAAACTTGATAATCTCGATTGTTAAAAAATCTGCAACAATTTGGTCTTAATAAGTTTTAGTTTAAAATTTCTTACTTACCAACCATTTGTTAGTAAAAATAAATTTTTAGGTCACTATCTTGTGATATACTCGTATCTATCCCAAGCTTATCGAAAAGCAATAAAGGATTACAATAAATATACTTATATTTAAATTGGATTGACTTTTTTATTGTCGCGGCGATAAAAAATTTGCAAATTTTTCGTAACATATTACTAAAAACAAAATCGAATCAAAAGTTCCACAATTGTGAAAAAGTAAAGTCAAGTAACCAAAGATGAAATCTTAATAATAACCT